AACCGTGAGATCATGACCTGAGCTGAAGTTGGATGCTTAACTGACTGTGCCATCCAGGCATCCCCCGCCCAATACATGTGTGATCGTGGTTGTGATGGTTTGGGTGGAGAAAGTGCCTACACGATGTGGAATTGCCCACAGATGACCAGCTGGCTGCGGGTTACAGGAATGGGCTGGAGGCCAGCTCCTCCCCACTTTTCACTGGACTTAGTCTGGAGAGGCTAAGTGATAAGCACTGATGAAACTTTGGATTATAGCACTAACCACTCTCCTGGACCAGGAACCTCTGACTATCGGCAGGAAGCACTTAACACCGTGACTCCCCAGAGCAGCTGTTGCCATGGGCATGTACATGGTAGAGCGATGATCCAAATGAATCAGCACAGCAGTTCCGACCAGAAGGTAAGGATTTAAGAGGCCTCCCTCTAGGGTGCCTGGGTGGCTCAGTCAGTTAAGCATCCAACTTCAGATCAGGTCATGATTTCATGGTTCATGAGTTGGCTTGTGCTGTCTCTCTCTCTCCCTCCCCCACCCCCCACCAAATCAAAAATAAATAAAGATTAAAAAATTAAAAAAAAAAAAAAGATGCCTCCCTCTTATTCCACGACTTGCAGAGACCATCCCTGTGTAGTCTCAGGGCACTTGGTTTAAAGGTGACAGAGAAATATGGAATCATGTATCCATTTCCAATAACAACTAAAAACTAGCTCGAGTATCAACCTCATTCAGTTCGGGATCCAGGTCCCCAGTCACAATGCTCACATCCATAGAGCCGTAGCAGAGAGATGTCCAGATGGCCCATCTGTCCCTCCCCATAGCTTCAACCTGCTCCCTCTCTACGTGTCCAGGCTTCCTGAGTGTTTAGAGGCATCTCTTGGGTCCTGCACTGAGATGTTGGACAGGAGGGGCCAGGTGCTGGGAAGAGACTGGCCTCGTGGTGAGGGTTCCTGAGCACAAGGCTGGAGCAGAGGTCCCTTGCTCCCGGCCTGGCCTTGGGACAAGCACAGCGCCTTGCCCTCAGGACCCAGCTCTTACAGGCCAGCTACCCTCCCCACAGGGTGTCACTCAGCGAAGGCAGCATCCAGCCAGATGGGTTAAAGCTCTGTTTTACCCCCTACACCCAGGGTGTAGATGGCCCTGAAGCCTAGAGATGGGACAGTTTCCAGGCCAGGTGTCCTGTAGGGCTGGGGCTGCAGGAACATGGTCAAATCTCTCCCAAAGGAAACACCAACTGCAGGAGAGGTATTGTCCCCAAAGCCATGCTTGGAGTGTGGTTGTGCAAGCTGGTAACCGGCTCCAGCAGCTACTTCGAGAGCCAAGGTGCTTCCCAATCCTCCGCAGGTCTCTGAGGGAAGGCAGCTCTCCTAAACTAAGCTCAGGGACAGAGCTTTTCACAGAAAGCCAGGAGGTACCACCCCTCCCCAGGACGGCGGAGGCAGTACTGAATAGTGGCTGCTGACCTTGGAGTCTGATGCCAGGGGAAAAAAAGAAGGCTGAGGGTTCTGTTTCACCTGTTCTGCCTCCACCAGACCCTGCCCTCTCAGTCTGAAGGATTGGTGTGGTCTCCTGCTGATTGTCACTGGTTGGCTGGTTGTCGTTGTAGCCACTGAGAACGTGTTAGATTCCTCGGTCCTTGTTTCTGTAGGGGAAGACGAGCCTGAATTCAGCAGATGGGGTCTGGACAAGGTTTGCAATCGGAGAAATGTAGCTGCAGTGATCTTGTGTGGGGCCTGATGTCTTTGCTGCTTCTACACCTAAACATGTAAGTAGGAAGCGGTGGGTCATATGCTTGCAATTTTCCAGTCCCTTAAGTGTTAGAGGGGATTTTCCCATTCAGGGACTGCCGTAGGTAGACGTAGGTAGACGTAGGTAGACGGTGACAGTGGGACATGCAGATCGCCAAGCGAAGGAGAAAGGGAAATCCCAGCTTTACTCAAAAAACGGGGCCAGTGTTCCCAGGGAAGCCATTTCTCAGGGTGACAGTGCCACCTGTGGGACACAGCCATCAGGCGCACCTGCTCCCGAAGAACTCCAGACTCTGGAGGCTTTGTAACTCTCCAGCCTCATACCCCCATTTTGGGATGAATCAAGTCAAAGCTGATGATTAACAAGATGGGAGTAGCCTACAATGTCTCCCTAGTAAGACAGAGATGGTATATTTAAGAGTCCGAGAGGTTTTACATGAAGAAATGGCACCACTGCTTTGGAAGCAAACACCTGAAAAAAAGACATGGGGCAGTGGGAACTTCAGGTCTCAGAGTTCCCTTAAATGCCTGGGTTTCGTTCACTGATGGCCCAGCCTAGATGAAACCTGATGGGGTCCACTGGGTGGCTGACGCTGCCCAGCTTCAGGGCCGGCGATGCAAAACTGAAAGCCAATGTCACGGCTCTGCTCAGCAGGGAGAATTCAAAGCTGTTCTCATCATTAATCTGGCCAGCATTCCACTGAGCTTTTACTGACTTGGGCTGTTAGTCAATGGCCTGGCTGCTTGGTTTGCCACTTGAAGATGACAGAGACAATTAAAGGCATGCCCTTTGGGGCAATGCACTTTGGAAACACACCTTGGCTCTGACAGCTGAGTCACTCATGTGCGTGCCCAAGGTTGGGACCTGGTCTCAAAGGCTGGCACTTCTAAGATGCTGATCAAGGGGCATCTGCATGGCTGTCAGTTGAGCATCTGATTCTTGGTTTCGGCTCAGGTCATGATCCCAGGGTCGTGGGATTGAGCCCTGCGTCCGGCTCCGTGCTGAGTGTGGAGCTTGCTTGGGATTCTCTCTCTCTCCCTCTTCCCCTCTCCCCTCCTTGTGTACTCTCTCTCTCTAAAAAAAAAAAATAAATAAAGAATACAAAAAGGAAGAAAGAAAGAAAGAAATATAAAATGCTGATCAAGCCTACACTGCCTAGAAGCTCCCTCCCACTCCTCCTAAATCGACTCCACCAAACTTTCAACACTTTTTAGGGGCTTTCTTGGTGCCAGTGTCCCTGGTCCATTCTGATGGAACTTAGACCACATCGTTATGGCCCTTGAAACTAAGCTGTGTCATGTTTTAGGCTTTGTAGACCATCTACAGTCTGACATTTGGTGCACCTTTTGTCCTCAGATCTAACCAACAATGGGCCAACAGTCAAGGTGTTGGATGGACATTCCACACTCCCTACCATCCACAGCATCTGAGTGCCAAGGGCTGGAATGGCCTCCTCCAAATTATCCCTACCTCCCTCACCTCCTCCCGATCCACAGACCCTAGTAAGGTGTCATGGTCGCTAAATGTGGCTGCCCCCTGAAAGTGTTCATCTCCTCTTGGTTGGCCACCATCTCTTGGGTAATGATCAGGAAGAAAGGGAGCTTTGTAGACTTGTTTTAAAAATTAAAGATTCTGCCCTGACCATTCCTGAGTATGACAGTTCTTCCCCCGGCCTCCCATGGCTACCCCAGGCCATCCTGGTTGGTAGGCCCTTTGGATACAGCCCAGCCAAAAGGGAGCCTAGGGAATTCCAACTTAATTCTGGTTCAGCCACCAGGATTCTCTTCATGGACTGACATAATTCTAGATCACAAAGACAATGACCATTCAACTGAGGGCATTGCTCTCCAGTTCCCCCACAGTGGCCCACATGTGCTGTGGCAGGCTGAACAATAGTCCCCAAAGACAGCCAGGTCCTAATGCTTGGAACCTGTGAATGTTACTTTACAGGGAAAAAGAGATTTTGAAGATCTGATTAAGTTAAGGATCTTCAGCAGAGAGATTATCATGGCTTTAGGATTAAGTTAAGGATCTTCAGATGGGGAGATTATCCTGGGTTATCCCAGTGGGCACTACGTGTAATCCCAGGTGTCTTTATAAGAGGGAAGCAGGGAGGGATTTGACTACAGAAGACAATGTGACAGTGGAAACACAGAGACAAAGAAGGATTTAAGATGCTGCTAAAACCCTGGACTTGAAGATGAGGAAGGTGATAAACCAGAACACATTTCCTGGTACCACTGGTCATGGGCACTGGAGTGGGCTCTGCAGGGTCAAGACAGTGGTCTCCACCTGCTTTCTGAGAGCTTACACTTTGGGTGTGATACAGACACTTACCCCAGAGAGCCAGCCAGACAGATTGTGGGGCAGCAAGAGGGGTAAATGCAGTGTACACACCTTGCTTGAGTGGAGGAGTGGGGACAGGCCTGGAAACGGCTAGGTTTGCCAGAGGTGAGTTTTGAAAGGCTGTTGGGAAGGGTTAGAAAATGCCGGGAATGGGGGCACCTGGTTGCCTCATTCCGAAGAGCGCAGGACTCTTGATCTCAGGGTCTTGTGAGTTCGAGCCCCATGTTGGGTGTAGAGATTACTTAAACACATAAAACTTTTAAAAAATGCTGGGAATGTTCCTAGCATGGTAGGTAATATGGTATGTGGAAGGAGAAAAGATTGGACATACAGATGAAGCCACTCGCAAACAGGCTCCACCTCAAATTATTCATTCACTGGAAAAACTATTTAGGTGCCTGTGTCAGGCACTATGTTGGTCACAGAGGTTACAGTGAGGAATGCGACAGAGGTCCTTATGTGGGAATGTGTGGGCGAGTGAAGGGAACTGACGTGAGAGCCAATGTGGCTGAAGCACGGGGCCCAAGTGGCAAAGTAGAGGACAGTGCCGTCTGGAAGGCAGGGACCGGATCATGCAGGGCCTTGCATGCAGTGGTTAGGGGCTTGGATTTTACTCTGAGGGCAGTAACATGATTTTTCATTCATTCTGCAACAGCCCTAGGAACTAGGACGTTTTATCCCAATTTTACTGACGAGGAAGGTCAGGTTGGAAGGGGACACGGTTAGGTAATTTGCTCAAAACTCAGCCGCAGCTGCACGGGAGAGGCCAGACCAGGGTCATTGAAAGTCCCGTGGGCTCGGGTTTTTCCGGCCCCGAGGGCCGCCAGTCCCGCCCCGCCCGTCGAGGCCCTGCGTCCACTGAGCATGCGCCGCTGGCCTACGGAAGCCGGGAGGGAGGGGGCGGGGCCGAGGCGGGCGGGCGCGGGGAAAATGGCGGCGGCGGCGAACGGGACTGGAGGGAGCAGCGGGATGGAGGTGGATGCAGCAGGTAACGGGCCTCGCTGGGGCGGCCTCTGGTGACGCCTCTCGGGGAGCGACAAGCCCCCCGCCCCCCGTACTCCATGGAGGAGTCAGGGGGCGGGACGGCGATACCTATCCCTGGGCTGCTAACCTGCGGGAGGGATGTATGGCTCCGGCTCTGCCGTCTCCCGCTCCCAGCTCTGAGGCAGAACGTGCGGCCCGGACTCTCATTTGCTCTCCTTTTCCTCCACCCTCAGTAGTCCCCAGCGTGATGGCCTCCGGCGTGACGGGGAGCGTCTCAGTCGCTCTTCATCCCCTCGTCATTCTCAACATTTCAGACCATTGGATTCGTATGCGCTCCCAGGAGGGGCGGCCTATGCAGGGTGCGTCTTGGACGTAATTCTCCAACCCCCTTTCCTTGGTCACCTCCCCCCAAATAGGGGTCTTTGCCCCTTCCTTTGCTGGGGCCGGTTTCCCCTCCCCCAA